ATAATAGATATAAATGATAAAACCAAAGTGGGGACTAGCTACAGAAAATAAAAACGGATATATTACATAAAACAACTTAATCCAACATATAAAAATACACAGCCGAGTTAGCTAAAGCCTCAACGCACAAAGTGACGTCACATTTGAAATTCTAAAAAAACACACAAAGTGACGTCACATATGAATTTGTAAAAATATTTCCCAAAAATAAGATAGGATTAGGATTGATTCAAGATAGATTTGTAATACTGCCATTACATTTATTAATAACAATGAAAATTACAATACTTATTAATATCAAATTGGGGTAGTAATTAGATAATTAATTGTATTATCTAGCTATGTCGGTGTTTATTCTGAATCAAACTGTAAACCAAATATATCGTATAAATTTCGTTGAACCAAACTAAAATCTAATAAATGAAGGGGGTGATTAATTATCTATACCATAACACACGAATATAACAGAAAATACGTTAAGACATTTGACAAAATCCGACGAGAACAACAAATATAACATCAAAATTAAAAACATGAATTTTGGATAGAAAGGTACCGTGACACGTCTTATAGCAATGCGGTTTCACACTCAGCAATACAGTCACAATCGGGAAAAAGTCACGTTCGGTAATTAAAAGATCAGACGACGTAATGACAAACCACAATCTAACACGTGGTAAAAATGTCCTTAGTTAGTTATGACAAAGACACATCGTATGGATCAACCAATTGGTGATGGTGTCCGTAAAATTTACGGAGTGTCATTTTTAATCTGTCTTCCTCATAACTTTGTTGGAGCAGTTTCTGCGTAAGGAGCACACTCCTGTATATGAAGTCCGTATAGTGCGAACAAGCACGAGAATAACGTATCAATTGAGATATGTAAACACCATACGAAGGGCCAGAGGGTATGTTACTGCTGAGAAATGGGAAATTGATAATTGGGAAGTTGAAATCGTCCCGTTTATCATAGATTTTCGTGTGAAGTCGTCCATCTGTGTCAATATTTAGGAAAAGATCAATTTATGAAGCAGTCCTTCTAGTATCAGTAGTATCCTTAATTTCAAGTTCACTGGGATATATGAGATGTAAGTATTGGCTGAAATATGGGTTATTCAATGATAGAACATCATCAATATATCGGAAAGTAAAATTAAAGAATTTCGCAAGGTGCTTTTTCTTTTTGTCTTTTAGAAGGTTCTGAATGAATTCTGCTTCATACGAGTACAAAAACAAATCGGCAAGTAGGGGTGCACAATTAGTTCCCATTGGAATACCGACTGTCTGTTGAAATATAAATCCTCCAAACTCAACAAATATATTGTCGATCAAAAAGTCCAGCATTTTGATAATATCATTTTCAGTATATTTTCTGGTAGATTCAGTGTGGTTTTTCACAAAATATGAATTATTGTAACCCAAAACAAGAAATTTGTATCTACGATTCCCATTTTTATAGAAAAAGCTCTGTTTAATGAGATGGTGAAGTCGATCTTTCAACTGAGCATGGGGAATAGTAGTGTAAAGCGTAGAAAAATCAAAAGTTTTTATGTTGCTGCAAAATTGCAAAGATCGTGATCGAAGATTATGCAGTAGATCTTTCATAAACACCGTGAGCCGATACCAAAGGAACATCACTGTCCAAAAAAGGAAAATTAACAACAGGAAATTAAAAATCGTCCTTTTTGTCGTAACTGTTTGTGTACAGTTTCTTGTGTAACACTGAAATATCTAAATCCAGAAAAGGACAGGTATTGCTGTTAATATTTGATTTATTTAAAGAAAGCCTTTGGGTAAATTTCAGCAGTATATTTAGAAACTTCTTGATTATTTAGCGAACAAATATCATCAAGATAACGGTAAGTATTGTTGAATTTATCAATTAAATGGAATTTAGACGGTTTTTTACTGAGTTTGACCATAAACTATGATTCATAACAGTATAGGTACAAGTCTGCTATTACAGGGACACACTTGGAATAACTAAAACTTGTCGATAAACTTTATTGCCGAAACGTACATAAATGTTGTCAAGGAGAAAATGTAGGGCTTTAAATAAATTTGCAATCAGATTTACCAAACGACCATTTAATTAGATAGTAAAACTTTTTTTGATAGGATTGTGTGGAAGTGTAGTATAAAGAGTGGAAAAGTCAAAACTGTCAACCGAATCAAAAAGACCATCAAAAGGACGTGATTTATCTAAAACATCCAAAGAATTTTTTATACTCAAAAATGGTTGATTCCACTATTTCCATATGTTTTAGTACAAAACTTAATGATAAGTTCTTTGATAGTAGTTAAGGAACTCGTTAAAAGCACCAAAAGATTTGTAGTAGAACACTTACTAGAGGACGAGATGAACGATTTTTAACGGGTTTTTTGTGTAGTTTAGGTAACTAATACATAGTGGGGACCTTCAAATGTTCAGAGAAGACCTTAAGCTAAGCTGTGGCAGTGACATGATTATTTACTACATTGGTGGCCTTCGGCTGTTGTCTGCTCTATGGTCGGGTTGTTGGCTCTTTGACACATTCCCCATTTCCATTCTCAATTTTATTATTTACGTGATTTCATCTTATTAAAGTGACCTATTATTCGTTCAACATTTATTCGTTCTTCAATCAGGGAGTAAGAGACTCATTGAATTTTCTATTACTTCTCGAAAAAACTGTTCAAATGGGTAGTTCATATTCTGAAGGGTTGCTGATTTCGTTTTCAATCTAATATTTGTATGTTTTAGATTAAAGCATTTTTCCTTTTTTTTTTAGTTTTAGTTTTTGCTTGAATCGCTTGTACAGAAACTTAGTAGCGAGTTTAGTATAAAGTTCAGTACCACCATCGAACGCAATCTAATACAACACGTTTTAGGTACACTCTGACAACAAAACCGAAAACACTCAATATTCATAGATCATTTGGACTGACATAATTGTTCATCGAATTGAATACGTTTTTCCTAGTACATTAAATTTTCAGTTTGTTATTAAACTACTGTATCTGTAATGACACGTCCATCACCACACCATTTAGACAGTGTAACAACTTTAATAAACCAAATAAGTTTCCACCAATTTATCAGCAACAAACAAAACCAAATGCAAGTTTTCTGTCAGCAATTTAAAGGTTGATAAGAAATGTTTATGGCTCATCTCGCCTTGCATGTTACTTTTTAATACTTTTTAGTTGTTATTTTCTCAACAAATGAAAGACAGAATGTCAAGTTTATTATGCAAAACATTTTTGCTTTGAAAACCACACACAAAATATTGTATTGTTTCAAACGGATACGTTGCTATTGCAGATATGTTGCATCTTAAAATTGCTGATTTTTAAAAATTTAAGTATTCTTTCAATATGTTGATTTCAAAGATTAAAGGAAAAAAAATGACAGAACATTTTAGCGCATAAATCGAACAAACACTTTACTATATTAAATATCATAAACACGTCGAAAAAGACTATTTTCATATTACCAACTTTTGACTCCGAGTTATATAATTTTTCGACAGGTTATCTACTCTGTGGTAGAACATCCTGGTACTTGGTCAAGTAAGAGCAACCAAAAGAAGTAAAATCAAACATATAATCAGTGCAATTTGAGGGGAAAGTTTACTGTTTTCCGATAATTTTGTCGTGTAAAGATAACATAAAGCAGTTAATTTTTCACCAAAACTGTACCGATTGAAAGCTTAATTTTACTTCTTTACGTTGCTCTTACAGTACCAGTCCTACCGCAGAGAAGGTAAGCTGTCGAAAAAATATAAAGTCCGAAGTCAAAAGTCGGTAATATGAAAATAGTCTATTGACAATCAACTCATCGTAGACACCAGGCTTGAAATGTAGTACGCCAGATGCGCGTTTTATCAACAAAACTCACCAGTGACGCTCGAAAAAAAAAGATTAATAAGGCCAAATTAAGTTCGTAGTTGTTGAGCATTGAAAACTCAAAATTCCGAAAGTTTTTGCCAAATACAGCTTTGGTCAATTTGACGACAAATAGACATTTTACACAAAGAGATTTCGCAAAATGAAACACAAACCGACGTCTTATCCCAAATAATTGTTTGCCTACATTAACGTGTTAGTGAACGATGCCGTGTTGCAATGTTTATTTGATATAAGGCCTTATCTTCATAAAAATGCCATGACTAAAACATAGATTATCCTGAAAGGTTTTGCATTTTCCCATTTATACAAGAAGTTTGAAACTCCACTTAATCTAAATATGTTAAGACAAAATCAAAAATTATATAAACACTGACATATTAACGTTCTGACCATCGTGGCCATCTGAAGAATTGTTTTTTTGAAAGATCCATGATATAAAAACATTTTAATTTCAAAATTAAGCGACTCGAATTCCAAATAAATATTCCTGACTTACTCACTTTTGCAATCAGATTTGTAGACGCCTTTTACAGTTTCTGAGTACAAGCCACCAAATAAACCTGCAACACAAGGCACGCATTTATTACTTTAAATTTAGATTTGTTAACTCATTTCTTTGTAATTAATTTCGGGGTGAAGGAACCGAGGAAAAGTATTTTAAATTTCGACCAATTGAACTGTATGGATAAAAATTCCTACAGGGATTTTTAATGCCATGTAGATGTTTTCAGCATATCATTTTGTACATTTGAATATTTTTAGATAAGGAAACATGTATGGGACATTTTTCATCCCAAAAAGAAAGAATAAATCTGAGAATGATGCAACAGGTATAGATGAAGTACTTTTTACCGACATACGACCAGGCAGCAATGCCTCAACTTCAAATCTGCCCACAACATTACAACAATTTGAAAAACAAACACACATCACTACCCGACAACAACAGAATGTACTTGCTTCTCTAGTTTAAACTTAAAATATCTATATATTTACATATCAGCTAGTGATCTAGTTTAAAACTATATTAGAAACATCAAATCCAATTGAAGATACATATATGAGGTAAACAATGTCATTTATATGTTTGTGTCTTAATTATAATAGGAACTGGGCAGACCAAAGAAAATCAATCCAGTGAAAATTTGACAGCTTTAACCGAACAGTATACCTATTACCCACAACATGATGGTGCTGGAGGAAACGGAAGTACCCTTTCAAAAGAAGGTATTTTAAATTTTGAATTAAATTAAATAAAAACTGAGAAAGATGTGGATATTGTCAAAGATCCATAGGCCTGTTATAGAGTACATTCAATATAAATATTGCTCCTCGTACAACAGTACACCAGTACTTGATTTAACTACTTTTTATAGTCTGACATTCCTTCAAAAAAACAATCTTTTCTTCATATAGGTTAAACACTATTCAATGCTTCATACAAAATTAAAAGAAACTATATGCGTATCCTATCATGATTTTCTTGAAAGCGAGTTGCTTCTTACGAGAAAGCGGTTAAAGCAAGGTTCTTACTGGATAAGTTCAAGGAACTATTTCAATATCTACCGGACATCGTCATGATTTTCTTCGCCGTTATGGGTTATCTGTGCCACAGATACCCATGATTATGATATGCTTTTCATGGTCCGCTTTTCCTCAAGTCGTCTCATGTTGAACGCGTCTCCTGTATTACATTATAAGCCTAATATCTACTGGCGTCTTGCACATTACATTAAAAGCATACTATCTTAAATGAGTTTCTGGTGGGGTTCGTGTTGCTCAGTCTTTAGTTTTCTATGTTGTGTTTTGTGTACTTTTGTTTGTCTATTGATCTTTTTCTTTTTTAGCCATGTCGTTGTCTGTTTATTTTCGACATATGAGTTTGAATGTCCCTCTGGTATCTTTCGCCCTACTTTTAACAACGATTGGGTCGTTTATGAAAATTCTTCGGAAGATTTTATATGATCAAAAGACAGTTTCTAGAACAAAATTTCAATTTCAGATAAAATTTAATGTTTTATTTTGTAGAGTGTACAGATTAAAAGACTTGACAAAAAGCTTTTCCAAGAATTTTACACTGACAGCGGCAATCGCAAGCAAAACATACGGTTCCGCGGAATACAAAACTCATCAAAGAAATATACTAAGTATATATTTTGTGCGCCAGATGCGCATTTCAATTGCACAAAACTCAACAGTGACGCTCAAATGAAACAGTTCAATGGCAAAGCAAAAATGCATTTGAAGAGCATTAAAAATAAAAAATTCAAGAAAGTTGTTCCAAATCTTGTCCAGAGTATTAACGTTTTAGATTAGAACAAACTTTGTACCTCGAATGATTTAGTTTTATTAACAGTAAATTAACACAAAACGACATATCAAAGATATTTGATGTCATATCGAGACTGGCAATAAAACTGCTAATGTGCGACAGTCATCTTGCATTGCTTGATAAGAAATATAAGATAAGAACATTTCTGAGACATAACAGTTTATATACTTATTCTGTTTAATAAGCATGTTTGATAAATATTCACACTTAATTGTTGTAGAACAATGGCGGGATTCCAATAGGAATAAAGCGTTACTACCCCGTGAATGTGATTCGACAAATGAAGGAAATGTTAAAAGGTAAGGATAATGAAAGAATAACTCTTTAATCAGAGTAAACATTTTTTTATTGTAACATTTCAGAAACATGATAAATTTATTAACCTTACGAGTTCTGATGTCCTATTCAAACAATTAACAAAGACGAGTAATTTAACATAAAAAATCGTAAGAAATGTTACGTATTTAGAAAAAAAAAGAACGCATTTGCATGATAAGGAAGAAATAGATGGAATTGTCTTTAGTAGTGTAAAAAGGGGAATTCTGCCATTATTCAATTTTTTTATTTTTTATTTTTTTAATGTTTGATTTTTTTCAATTTTGAAATGTATAGTAAAAACCAGTTAGGGTTTAGGGGTTAGAGGTTGAGGGTTAGTTTTATTTCAATTTAAAAATGTATAGTAGAAATGATTTTCAAATAGGAGTGAGCGATATTAAAAAAGGTATTTTTTTCCTTTAAATAAAAAAAAACTTTATTAGAAAGTGATGGTATAAGTGATAATAATAATTATATGGCTTTCTTACAAGATGATTTTATAAATGATCACATTTTGAGGAAAAGGTACAGGAGCAAAACCAAAATCTTTATTCATTTGTTGAATAGTGAAAATTTCAATTATACAAAAAACTGATCTTATTCTAGATGTTTCTTAACAATTCCAAATTAAATTCTTTGGCTTCATGTTAACTGTTTGATCAATTTAGACAGATTGGCAATTTCATGTTTTTATGAGGACTATCGATAAAACTGCCCATGTTTGTTCATGTATGTCTTAGAGTTGCTGGTCCAATACTTTCTAAACATAACAAGTGAACTATTAAGTCGTCTTCTATATCTTATATGTATTGGACTTGTAATTGAGCACTGAGCCTACTTAAAGATTCTAGCCAGTATTTCATTTTGCCCTATATTGTCGAGTAATATCCGGTAGAACCCTGTAAAAACCGGGTTTTCAAAATATTTCGCACTGGGTTATACCCACAAAACCCGGGTTGTTGCAAACTATGATATATGTTGGGAAACACACACACTTTAACGTGACGTTGTGTGGACGTTGACACTGGTCGTTAGGGAACTTATATTAAAAAGCAAAATAACAAAAATACCGAATTCCGAGGAAATTCAAAACGGAAAGTCCGAAATCAAAATGGCAAAATCCAAAGCTCAAACACATCAAACGTATGGATAACAACTGTCATATTCCTGGCTTGGTACAGGCATTTTCTTATGTAGAAAATGGTTTTATAGCTAGCTAAACCTCTCACTTGTATGACAGTCGTTTATTTCGTCATTCGTCAAACGTCATTCTTTATGTAGTTTTTACTCTGTATCTCAATGTGGCGAACGTAATACAAATAAATATTTTACAACTTTTGTTTCCTTCACAATATAATGGTGCCGTGACTGCTGGAAAATGGCTACAAAATAAAAAGGAACATGCTTGGGACGCAGGAACGCTCTCACAAAGAGATTCGAAGATGGAAAATCTAACGACGAATTCGACGAATTCGACAGAAATGAACTTTTGACCATTTGGGATTTGAAAATTTTTTTAATGGCTTAAAATAATGGCAACTTTACCGCAACTTGACCTTATGGCAGCATTAATGGGATTAATGGGATTAGTGGGATTAGCGTCACTTATGTTTTTCAAGTTTACGGAATGTTAAAAGGTGTGTACTATGGAGCGACAGTCAAATCATTCTACATTGAATAGCTTGCAGGAAGCAAATCAAAACCTGTATAGCAAACAGAGTTACCGAAATAAAAGAGGTCACAAGTGAACTTTGCTGGAAATATTGCCCTACACAACACCACCCTGCTGATAATTCATCACGTAGTATATCGTATAAACAATTGAAAAATTGTAAACTATGGATGCATGGTACAGACTGGTTGATAATCGAGAAACATTGAGCGAATGCATTTGAAATTAACAGTAAGGTTAAAGCTACAATTAGTAAGTAAGATGAAAATCAAGAAACATCAGATGACTTTATAAGGACAAAATACAACGTACTGAATGTAATCAATGTCGATAGATACAGCTCATTCAACAAAACTGTGTATCTTGGCTTACATACAGAAATGTCTTGCTACCTGCCGTTATCGAGTTTCCGATATAAGTAGACAAACCACAACATATCTGACACCACATGAGATAAATATTGCAACAATGAAGTTGATTGAAGCTGTGCAACATCAACGATACAATGATGTATTTGAATGTTTATCCTCAAAATCAACGCATAGCTTAATACGTCAAATACGATTGTATCTGGACAAAGACGGATTAATCCGATGTGCTGGGCGCATCAATAACGCACCGCTTCCAGAAAACACAAAATTCCCGTTTTCTTACAAAGTTACTGATAAATGACATTCAAATATTTTCATTCCGGCATACGAGATACCGTTACTAACTTGAGGCAGACATATTGGTTCGAAAATGTTTAAGTTGTCGAAAAGTAACAGGAGTTGCATAAACAGCACCAGATCTGCCACCTCTACCAAAAGATAGACTATCGTTCGAAGAACCCTTTATTGTATCCGATGTCGATTTTAGCGCTGCACTTAACATCGAAAAGTGTATACATGCTTGTTTACATGTGATTATACTCGAGCTATTGAAAAAGTTAAGCATATAACTGAAAAATCTTTTATGCTAGCTTTTCGTAGGTTCATATGCAAGAAATCGATACCAAGAGTTATGATTTCAGATAATGCTACCATATTTGTTACCGCTGCGGAGGAAATACGAAAGCCAACGGACTCTTAATCTTTATACGACAAATTGAGCAAATTTGGAACCACATGCAGGTTCATACCTAAACGTGCCCCATGTTATGGTGGTTTTCGGGAAAGACTGGTTGGACTTACCAAGATTTGCCTGAAAAAGATTCTTGGACGTGCATGTAAAGATTTACCACTGTTACACTGTTACACTGTTGTAATGTACTATTATATTATTTATTTATGAATTTCCCTGTGCGGAGTGTTCTTCCGTTTGTTTGTACTGTATTCCTGTCACGTAGCGTTGTCATTTTACCGGTATTTTTAAAATTGCCATATAAGCGGGAGGTTTGGCTAGCAATAAAACCAGGTTCAACCCATCGTTTGTTCTTAAAATGTCCAAGTCAAGAATATGGTAGTTGTTATAAAATAGTCCGTTTTTATGTATGTTGGCGTTTGTTTTTGTTGCAGTTCAGTGTTTCTGTTGTTCTGTTGTTTTCCTTTTAATAGTTGATGTGTTTCCCTAGGTTTTAGTTTGTAACCCGGATTTGTTTTTTCTTAATCGATTTATGAGTATTGAATAGGGTATACTTCTGTTGCTTTTATTTACATACATTAATTGTTGAAATTGAAGCAAATTTTAGCAACAGACCACTTAACTATATATCGTCGGACATTGCCGATCAAAAGCCGCTTATCCTGTCGCATCTATTGTTTGGAAGGTAGATTAAATCTTAACCGTATCCGTTTAACAAACAATCATGAAACATTGAACGATCAAGTAAAAGGAGATTCCGTCTAATTGAACAATTCTAAGCAAGATGGAAACACGCATATTTGACATCTTAACGAGTGTAGGGAAATACTAATGAAACTGGGAAACTTGGAGATGCAGTTCAAATCTACGGCGATAACTCTCCATGTACAACATGGAAATTCGGTGTGATAGAAAAACTTACTTATAGAAACGATAACCTTGCGCGATCTGCGACGGTCCGGAGAATGTGGAGAAACACACGAACTTTAACGTGACATTATAATGTGCAGACGTGAATAGGGGTCGTAAGGGAACATATATTGTAACGTCATTCTTTATGCGGTTGTTACTTTGAACCTCAATGCGTCTAACGTAATACACATATACATCTAACAACTTTTGTTTCGTTCACACATACTATTGTGGATACAAAGATCATATTGTTATAATCATTAGTCATTTTTGTTAAGAATATTCAATAATTATGTATTAATATTATGTTTAAAAATATTTCCTTAAACATTCTATGTTCAATTCGCATACAAAATCGTTCGAATATACAAATAATTTCGAATATTAACCCAATAGTAGTGTTTGTGTTTTGAATGAAAGCAAGATTTATGACAAATAATTTTACAATTACCATTAAAAACACATTGTTCGTTCTTGTAAATTATTCATCTAAGTTACTTTCCTGTCTTTTGGTGTTTGTTTAACAAGTATTTTGGTATTTTCAGTGAAAACAAAGGAAATCCAAGGGAAAATATAAAAACAAAAGGTACGTTTCTTATTTTATTGATAAAAGCATATAAACAAATAAATTCAACAAGATATGACATCATTAAAAAAAGAAACAAAACAAAAAAGTTTTAAAACAAATCGAATAAAGGAAAAAAAAAACCAATTTGCTCAAAAAAGTATGTCTAATATGTCTTTATAATGGTGTGAATATACAAAGATATAGATTTAGTTACAAAGTATGTTTCGATATGTCCAAACTAAAACAAAAGTTTAAAATAGCTGGAATTTCTTCGTGTTCGATTTCTCTTAAACTTCTGTAAATAAACTCATCATTTATACCAGGATTGAAATTTTGTATTTGCGCCAGACGCGCGTTTCGTCTACAAAAGACTCATCAGTGACGCTCGAATAAAAAAAGGTAAAAAAAGACAAATAAAATACGAAATGAAGAGCTTTGAGGACCAAAAATTCCTAAATGTTTTGCCAAATACAGTTAAGGTAATCTATTCCTGAGGTAGAAAAGCGTTAGTATTTCAAAAATTCAAAATTTTGTAAACATTTAATTTATAATTATGACATATCAATGATAATTCATTTCAACACAGAAGTGCTGACTACTGGGCTGGTGATACCCTCGGGGAATAAAAACTCCACCAGCTGTGGCATCGACCCAGGTGTTGTAAATAAACTCATCATAGATACCAGAAATGAAATTTTGTATTTGCGCCAGACGCGCGTTTCTGTAAAAGACTTAAAGGTCAATGTTCTTTCAAATTTCCATATAAAAACTGTGGTCACGGAACTTATTTTTTCGTTAAAATACATGGAAATTAACGAAACCACAGTTATTTTATATGGGTTATACAGAATAAACTTAATTTTGCCTTATACAAGTATAGAGGTTTCTGTAGTACATTGAATGATAAAATATTTTTAAATTTAACGATATTTTTGCTTTTTTCTCAAAAAAGATTCTAAGCAAACGACACCAAAACAATCTTAACACACAATTGAGTTTTCAGGTTCAAAACAGATAACGGCATGTTCCATTAACTTCTCAAATGGTTTCATTGGAAAGATATGAGTACATATAGATGAAAATAACACTTAGAAATACGAGTGTCCGACGGGCTTTTCTTTATTGACCTTCATCAGGAACGCTTTACCTTAAAAATTACAGACAGGGATGTATAAATACGTAGACATATTAGAAGCAATATAACAAAATAATTTTATAACGTAATAAATCAACCATCTTACGATAAGGCTTTAATTTTCTGATACAGTACCAGTTGACCAAAGATTTTACCTTGGTCTTTACGTTTGTTCATTCTGTTACTAAATCACATATACTAATAATAATAAGCTTACCCTACTAGAGCACATGAGAAGTTTTTTGTTGGGTCCGTATTGGTCAATCTTTAGTTTTTCATGTAATGTTTTGTATTTTGTTGTGTTTTGTTTCCCGTTGTTTGTCTTTTGGTCTTTTCCATTTTTTGTCATGGCGTTGTCAGTTTATTTTCGACTTATGAGTTTGAATGTCACTTTGGTATGTTTCGCATCTCTTTAATCGTTTAATAACTAAAAGTAAACTTAAACAAATTAGTGTTATTATCATCAACTGCATAACCTATCTAGATAGGAAATGGAATCTGCATTGAAAAAAACATTAAGTACAAAAATCTTGATGGTATTGAAAATGAATTACAGACAACAGATAATGAGTACTTTATATGATAGAAACAACTGACTATACAGTTAAGTACAACAAGAGTTCAGCAGGAATGAAATAATTAAGCATGAAAATAAAAGTCGTGTAGTGTCTGGACTTCAACATTGTGCTGTGAACAATGCATATTTTTCGACTTTTTTTGTAGAAAACACACAATACAATGTCAACCTGAATATAAGATCTGGAATGTTTGTCACTGTAACAGAAGAAAATGACAAAGAAGAACTTAATGATGTTCTACGTTTGATTTGCGCGTGGCTTAATAACAGTGCTAAGCTTCCGTTGACTTTCACATGTTGCACTCAGGTAAACAACAAGGAAACAACAACACATGATTTCGACGTGTGGTATGGCAGGATTGAAGAAAAAATAAGGCGTTATTTTTTTAAAGCAATCGCGTCAATCATTGACATGAAAGGAAATTGCAAATCGGAAAAAATAATACTTCATATGAAAAAACCTGTTGAACATTTATGTTCTTGTGAGACATATTTATACTTTCCATCTGTATCATCTATTGAAACAATGGGAAATCAAGAAGCAATCAGGATATTAAATCAACGTGGACCACCACAAAACCTAAAGAAATTAAAAAAAAGAAAGTTCAATATGTTTGAGCCAATGAATGACCAACGAAATGAAAACGTTGATGTTCAATTCAAAACAATTACTGGAGAAGGTATTCTAAACACGCTGGCAAAGACGTGCTTGAAGTATATATCTGCCTTCTGTAATCACGAGGGAGGTTCAATATTTTTTGGAGTTGAAGACAAAGAGGGGAAAGTAGTTGGTGTTCCGGTGTCATGTGAACATAGTATAGGTAAATATTGCTTTTACACTGCCTGTTTTATGGCAAGTGTATTATGAAATTGCTATGGTACTATCGTTGCACGTCTGGCGCAAATACAAATATCAATCCTGGTATCTATGATGAGTTTATTTATTAATAGCGCCGATGATTTAGCACTGTGTTTGTCATTAGAGTTTGTATACCAGCACATTTTACAACTTTTTTTGCTTGTGTATAAAATTTTAAATATTCTGGAAAACAATAAGATTTTCGTCAGATCCAATAATAATGAGAAATATTGTTTTTTTGTTGTTGTGAAAATGAGAAAAAAACAGGCCGTTTGATAACAAAAAGTGGTACATACAACGTTCATTTCATTTAGATAAAACAAATGAAAATCTCAACATTTTATGATTGAAAGCAAATTTGAACAATCAATGTTTTCCGTTATATTTAAATTTCAAATCTTCAAGTAAAGATAGCATCATCACAGATTAAGTAGAAAATAACAGCATTGTATGTTAGCCTAACGTATTGAAAAGAGGGGCGAAAGATACCAGAGGGACAGTCAAACTCATAGATCGAAAACAAACTGACAACGCCATGGCCAAAAGTAAAAAGGCAAAATAGACAAATAATAGTACAGATGAAACAACATAGAAAACTAAAGACTAAGCAACAAGAACCCCACCAAAAACTGGGGGTGATCTCAGGTGCTCCGGACGGGTAACCAGATCCTGCTCCACATGTGGCACATAATTTGCGTTGTACTTTTGTCTTCAACTTTGATTTGGAAATTCAATGAGGTATCTTCTGCATCTGTTTTTAAGGCTCATTTCGATATAGATTTTGTTTGATTGAAATGTTCTGTTTTAAAATCTTCTAAATCATTTCAAATTAAGGAATATATCTCCCTCATGTATGATTCTGATTATTTCCAGATTTGGCTATAATTAAGGTCCATTATGGTTTAATCAGCTCTACATCGATTGTATAAGTTTTGGGTTTTCAAATATTTTGGCCCCAAGCATCCCTGAATAGACAAAATAATTGCCGAAATGAGCATCAATTTCATTCCAATTGGTACCGTTAGTATTATTATGCTCTCTTCTCCTCTCTCTAAAATCTTAAATGCTACTTCATACCTGTTTTAATACCACCTTACGGGAGTTCGTTACTGAAAAAAATAACCGAACGAACTTTACAGCATTTGAATTGCACTGAATATTTGTGAAAAACACTTAAGTTAGTTGGGGATATACACAAAAAAAACAGATTGTTCCCCTAAATAATTACAAAATGTAGTTTTGTATCCTGCTTTTTTAAAAGATATAGGTAATATGAAAAAGGACAGGTCATCAAACTGGTTTAAAAGTTCGAGGTTACGAAAAAGTGAAGCATATTGTAGGGATGATACAGGGAGAAAAATATTATAACACTAAAAATACAACTTCATGAAAGGACTTTGAAGACAAAATATGAGAAAATAGCTCATATAAAATGCTTTCTTATGCTTTCTTATGAGTGGTAAGTATTATATTGACTAAACGCACGTGTGTCAAACCAATTCATAAGCCTCATATCTTTATGTTAATAAACTCCTCATAGATAACATGATTCAAATTTTATACACGCGACGCGTGTTTCAACTACAATAGACTCATCAGTGACGCTCCCATAAAAAATTAAATACGCCAAATAAAGTACAAAGTTGAAGAGCACTGAGGACCACAAATTCAGAAAGGTTTTGTTGAATACTGCTTAGGTACGCCTGTGGTAGAAAATCCTTAGTTTTTTGAAAAATTCGAAGTATTATAAACAGTGAATTTACGACTATGATCTTATCAATGATAATTCATGTAAATACAGAAGTGTTAAATACTGGCCCGGTGATACGCTCGGAGAGGAACCTTCACCAGTAGTGGCATTTAATTGTTTAAGCAGATAGATGAAATGGGGGTACAATACTTGTTATCTTGTTATAAAACAGTATATAAAAACATTACTACAAATCTGATTACAAATAATCGGAAACCCCCTCTATATAAGAAATATAGATTAATCAAGATCAAACACAAAATATTTTGTACATATATGACAAGGTAAAATCCCATAGAAGTTTTTTTTAAATCAAAAGTCTTTTTAAATGTTCTGCATTCCTGCATCAAAATTGACTATTGAATTTTAAATCAATACCGTACATTTCCTATTATTTATTTTATCCAAGATTGACAAAAACTCCAATATAGCCATATTAGAGACTTAATTGTACTTTCAAGATTTTTGATTGTTCACTCGACACCATTCTAAACGTTATGGCTTTGTCTTTTGTTCCTACGACTAAAGAGTTTTGATTGCCAGACATGTTTTATTTTTACCTTTTTTGACAGGTTTATTTATCATACTCAGTCAATATCAGTGGACATGGTTTGTGTTAGCATCAGACTGTTTGAAATTGTTTTCGAGTACACATTTAAAATATTTATTAGAATTTTTTTGAAGGACTTTTTTGGATCTTGATAATTCATCACAGTTCATTGCAGTACCTGTTTTATTCGTATTCTTCCTGCATCATAGTAATAGGGAAGTACATTTATCCTGTTTCAAGATAAGGAGATAATCGGAGTCTACTTGTTAAGACACTTAATTATGATATCTGATTCAGAGACAAATTTTATAAAATTAATTGTTATCAACTGCATATATTCATATTTTACAGAGCAAAAGCTAAAAGATAAAATTGACAGTTTAAAATTTGGTTCGTTTGATCAGAAAATGGAAAAGGGTTTCCATTGAGATATTCATTTTTTGGAAATTCGTGTAAGTAGAAAATAAAAAACAAAACAATAATCTTTTACGTTTTATGGTTTCATTGACGTGAATGAATTTCTGTTTGAATCAAGATTCTGAAATTGTATATATATCTTATATTGAATGTGCATTAATTACAATTACATACGATCATTGGACAACAAAACCTTTATTGAGCACAAATATAAAAAAAAGTCATAATAAATAGGTGGACTAAGTTGCAATGTCGATCGGTCCCCACCTTAATGGTGATCTACCTTAAATTAATGCTGAACGAACAACCGGATAGCCGGACAGACGGCATCACATATGGGAACATAAAATGGTTCCTACTATCGTAGGATGAGAATAACAAATGTATTGAACTTAAAAAAAATCAATAACCTTGCTATATCTAACTAATGATGTTAAGCTTGATATTTCAAAGGAGGAAGAACTAGATTTTTTTCAAAAGATGTCTACAGGTCACCAACTGAAGTATATATATATTTTCCTTGACCTTATTTCAATGTTAGATAATCTATATATCAACATTATGTCTTTTGATAAGGCTAGTTTATCAATTCGACTGCATTTATTCAACATAAAAATTGTATAATGCGCTAATTCGTCTGACAGGCATCACTTTGCCGAGACCTCATTGATTTACATAAGTCCTCAATCTAAATGTATACTCATAACGCTGTCATGTAATTGCATTATCCTGTTGTAAATTTATTATATTAAGTTTTTCCGTTAATCAATATGAATTAAATGAATCATTCTGGTCTGTTTTTTTTTATCTCAAATATATTTCATGAATTTCCATTATTTCCCTGAAAATTTCTCTCATAAATTCACTAACAGTCTTGTGCTAAGATTGATAGCTATATGTATGAAAAAGACCAAAAAAAGAGATGAAAATTGTTTAATCAAGACCTACCGTCTCTTCTGAGAGACAATATCACCTGCTAATATCTATGTCGACTGAAAGAATTGTTTCAGCTTTAAAGTACAGATATGAGAAGAATTCAGAGTTTTCCTATTCTATAAATAGTTCACTGTTTCGATTGTATATGCCTAGTCCTACTGTATACGAATAATACAGGAAAATAGATATAAGAAGATGTGGTATGAGTGCCAATGAGATAACTCTCCATCCAAGTCACAATTTGTAAAAGTAAACCATAATAGGTCAAAGTACGGTCTGCAATCTAGTTCTTCCTCCTTTGAAATATCAAGCTTAACATCATAAGTTAGATATAGCAAGGTTATTGATTTTTTTTAAGTTCAATACATTTGTTATTCTCATCCTACGATAGTAGGAACCATTTTATGTTCCCATATGTGATGCCGTCTGTCCGGCTATCCGGTTGTTCGTTCAGCATCAAGACTATTTGATGACATTTGAATATCCCTGGTGATTATAAATCCAGAAAAAGCACTTCGGACGCACCAATATTTATATTACAGATCTAATAAGTCAATATTTGCATTATATTTCAGTTGGATGGTGTGTATTACAGGGTGAAAGATGATATTGAAAACGTTCTAAGTTACAAAAGAGGACAACAGTTAAAGTTAATTGAAAAAAAATATACTAAGTTGTGGTTATTTGAAAAACCTAAGCAAAAAACGACAGGACTGGCAAGAGCTGACCATTTTAAGGAGGTACAAAACGAAATGTATATTTTTATATCTTGAATAAGAAATTAGCTAAGGAGATAATGTTCTTTTGTTTTATGAGTATTTTTCCTTTAAATCGTATGTAAATGCTAAATGAACACCCATTGCATTTTATGATTTTCCCAGTGTGTAGCGACTTGATCAGGTGTAATTCATTGAAGTCATGTCTGTTTTTTGCATCACTCACCTGCTTTCAGCTGTGATTATATTTTTGGCTTTTTTACAGTTTGAAACCGGTTCTCAACTTTGTAATCTGTAATTCAATTTCCTATGTTTTCAGTAATCTATTTATTCAGTTCTCTGTGTGTTGACCGACCCATTTTTGTCAACAATGTATTAGTTTGCGATTATATCATTTTATGGGGAACCAGTTGTGGTAGGTCAACGATATTTGGTGTGCATTTGTATGAGCATTGACACATCTCATATCTATGGAGATTATTTTGCCCTGCCCCTTTAGACATGATCTATTGACTTTGAAACTTTTGCTTAGTTAACATGTATTAGTTTGCGATCAGGACAGTGTATTGGATCCTTTAGTGGTAGTTCAATGATATTTTATGCAGTTGTATTAGCATTGACACATTTCAATTCCATGGAGATTAAATGTCTCTGTACCTTCAGTCATGGTTCATTGACTTTGTATATTTTGCATAACTTATATGTAAAAGTATTGCTATTCTAATTTCAAAATTTGCATTTTACTTTCAAAATTACAACAAGGCGGGACATCTCTGTGCTACAATGTAACAGTTTATTAATTATGTATAATCAAGATAACTTTCAAAGTAACCTTTACTTTCTTAGATCAGAAACTTTTTCCGGTGCAGCGATTTGTTTGTATTGATAATACAAAAACTTTATTTGGTATAAGAAATGAGTTTAATAAATAAAGGCAACAGTAGTATACCGCTATTCGAAATTCATAAATCGATTGAGAAAAAAAAAACAAATCCGGGTTACAAACTAAAACTGAGGGAAACACATCAAATATAAGAGAAGAACAACGACACAACAGAAACACAACATTAAATTAATACAGGATAGGTTCTACCTTTGATTATTTTCCAATTAAATGCCAATTGGCCTGAACAGCCTGTGATGGGGAAAAATCCCCAAAGACAGATGTAAGATAGCTTTATGTTGAATGGTCGTTTGTAACTGGGATGTTCATATTTTATTTGTACAAATAACAATGCTTCGAAAGGGGTTTGCGAAAATATTGAGGTTCCATCTCATTCAGGGAAAGTTGACTGATGAGTTTGGCTATTTTTTTTATGTCTCTTTTGGTCATATATATATATATAGTTAGAGGGGATAAGGTGTCTGCGCAATGCTAGGTGGCGTCGTCGTAGAAGTTAGAAATAGAAAGTACAGGTTCCAGCCCCGCTCGGGGAGGAAGTAAAGAATCAGATGTACTCTAACATCGTTAGGTTGATTTTCTAGGCACTTTATATATATATATATATATATATATATATATATATATAATGTCTGAATAATAGCCAACGATAAATCTTACGGGGCGATCGATCATATAATTATGATGCAGTACACTAAAAAATATAATATACAATAAGCAAGTCTAAAAGGGTACAACATCACCAAAAAATAAAATAAGATCATGAACAAATGTTAAATATTTAGGATAACTAATATCCTTCATCAGTAAGATGTCAAATGGTTGTGATCTTGATATGTGGTAGTCACGCTGTAATAGTAATCTTGATCTTTATATAAAAAATCACGATTCAATACGCTGGTAAATATTTTCAATATTGTTGTTTATTCGAGGAGGAATAAATTCCTTAGAACTGTAAGAGTCTTGTACTGAAGCCTGGGTTACTGAACAAGTGATGGTAGCGACTTATTATATGTTTTTTTTTCATTATTGCCCTCTGGGGAAACTTTCCTTAACTTCCTTATCCAAAAACTGTCCCGACCAAGTCGGTCGGCCCTTGACCAACCCTCGCTGTGGTCTATGATAGTGATGGTAACGTTTTTGAGATCAGCTTGGGCGTGCCCAGGTGATCTCAAATGACGACTTACGTGGAGGTTGGCCTGCAGGTGTAGTCAATTAGATGATCATGCATGCGTTTATTAAATAGCTGTTCTGTCTCGCCATCATACTGCATGCCACATTGACACTGAAGAAGATATACAACATTCTGGGTTTTGCAAGATATATATTATTTTCATTCAAGAGTTCGTTTAGAGTCACGCATTTGATTGGAAAATAAATGTAAAAGGAAGATCCAAATAATTTATCCCAAATAATTGTCAATGATGTTGTAGGATGAAACAAGTTGTATATATACAGCTGAATGCAATTATACAGTACAAAACATATATCAAAAAGGCGAAGTATTGAAATTTATAGACAAAGACAAGTATCATGATGAATGGTTGAACTTCGTAACAGTTAATGGAAAGAAGAAGCAGCTGCATTTTGCATTAGTTAAAAAAGTAAGTGTGGTACTTACTCCAATCTTACTTAAAAAAATAACATTTGATTAAAGTTTTATTAACGCAAAGTATTGTCAATATATTCCTTTCCCAAAACACACGCAAGCGTGAGGTACAAAACTTGATCATCATGAGTGTTCATTAGATGAATTAGGTCGGTGTAAATGAATGGAATGTAACATTTGTTAAGTGTCAAGAGGTTGGATGATGAAATTACAAAAAAAAGACAAAAAAAAAAAGCAGTAACAAAAGAAAAACAAGTATCATACTAAAGGCGTTTTATACATGAAATAAAAGTAAAAATTGGATTGTCTATGATCCGTGAAGATGTTATCTGGAAAGTAAGATTTGTGAGGATTTAAGTGTCTAGAAGTTGGAAGATGAAATTACAAAAGAGAGACAAAACAAATAATTGTCTTCAAATATATGCACACCTGAGAGAATAGCTGACAAACTATAATTGTATGAAATTTAACATGAAACATAAAACATGCGCGTGATTTGATTTGATGTAGATAAGCCAAAAAAAACCTTATACAGGATATGTCACATTTAAAGATCAAAATTAAATATTTCAAAGGTTCCATTGTCATTTACTTCTATATTAGAAGCATATCAAAGTTATATAATGGTATAATTCTTCTCCGGAGCACCTGAGATCACCCCCAGTTTTTGGTGGGGTTCGTGTTGCTTAGTTTTCAGTTTTCTATGTTGTGTCTTGTGTACTATTATTTGTCTGTTTGTCTTTTTCTTTTTTAGCCATGGCGTTGTCGGTTTGTTTTTGATCTATGAGTTTAATTGTCCCTCTGGTATCTTTCGCCCCTCTTTTCTAAGTTGTATATATATATGTGTCCCTTTCCCTACTGTGATTGTTTGATTGATGGTGGGTGATACATTCATAGCAGGAGATACTTACTCTGTCGATGCGCCTTATTTCGCTCCGATTTAGTTCATGCGAATCCTGCAGTTTTTGTTAGTGACCTTGATTTTCTTCTTAAGCAATTTTCGAGATTTGAACAATGGAACACTTTGATTTCCGTAATTTATAGAGGTATGACGTCATTTTGGAAAAAAACATCGTCAACTACGAATGTTACACCAAGCTCATATGAGTTTATTACTATACCTAATTTAAAATCCAGATGTTTTGTAGCATTATAAACTGTTACATATAGCAAATGATTTATTTAGTTTGATGGCACAAACATAAATATTAATTGTATTTGGTAACACCAAGCTGTCTCCGTCTCAAAAAAATCAAAAGATTAGTAAAACACTTTATTTTGGTCCGATTTATTTTTCATAACTGTATTTTCTTATTACAGTTCATTAAACAACAACCAATATTACCATTATACTACTTAATTCACAAATCTTCCTTTACTATAAAAATTAGGAGGTATGGTATGATTGCCAATTAGACAACTATCCAGAAGTGTTTGAATGAATTTGATGTAGGCAATTATCGGTAACTCTACGGCTTTCAACAATGAGTAAACTCATACAGTATAGTCGGCTGTAACTACAGGCTCCATAATTGTGACAGACACATAAAATATGTTGCGGGATTAAACATGATTGGTAGGGGTTAATCCATCCCCTTATCTGAGACAATGGTGTAACAACACAACGAAAGACCTTAAGAAATCAGTTGCAATTTGCTTCACCTGAAGGATCAGTACAATGAACAAAAACAACTAACATAAAAGCAATAGACACAAAGTACAGAAATTAGATTACTCACAGCTAATGAAAGCTACTTCAAAGTAAATTAAATAAATCATGTTTTCCCACTCTAAAGTATCAATCAGTAAATTTCCAACGTATTTAATGTAAAGACGTCATTAACAGTCTGAGAAACGAATGACCTTGTGCAATGCCAATTAAAGTAAACAGTATCGACAGGTATGTCTACAGCTCATGATGTTTTAATTTTCAAAAATGAAATCAATATTATTACTTATAAAACAATAATTAAAGATTTTGGTACTGTGTTAATTCGGGTACTTTGAAAACAAGTTAATTCAAAGGATCAATTCGGTTATATGGATTTTATACGTAGATATAAGAAGATGTGGTATGAGTGCCAATGAGACAACTCTCAATCCAAGTCAAAATACATAAAAGTAAACCATTATAGGTCAAAGTACGGTCTTCCATTCGGAGCCTTGGCTCACACCGAACAGTATATAAACATAACTGTTTGTTCCTTCCATTATTGTTCAACAGTTTAATATTACACCGTTCATTTGATATTTGTTTGCTGACCAAAAACGAATTTATTTCAATTATTTTGTGGATAAAAATCATTTTTGAAGCTTTCATTGCAAATGATTGAGGAAACTAAATTGCTTGATGCATGTATATTTACAGTTGTATGTTAAGACTGGTGAATATTGTGATAGAAACGAAAACGGAAAAGGAGATAATGTTAGTATATCATGTATATTTTAACACTATTCAGAATTTGTTTGTCAAACAGTTTAAGTGTTTAATGGAGTAGACTCAGGAATG